TTTTTTTAAACTATAGTCCGCCCCTCCAACGGTCTGAGGGACAGTGAACTGGCCCCCTGTTTTAAAAGTTTGAGGACCTCTGGTAGAGCGTTTTCACTGCACTGCATACCTTTACATATTTGCCTTTTGAATAACATGAAATTATTATTTATTGAAAAACTAAATAGTAAGCATGAAAGTAATTTGAATTAATATTCAAAGTTAATCTTACCCATCTTTTCATTAAGTTTTGGTATAGGTTTATAATTTCAAGTTGAAAAATTTGAGGAAAAAACAAGCAAGAATTATAGTAATCCTATGCATCTAAGAGGCAGAAGAGAACTATATGCCTAGATTTGTAATGACAGTGGTATTTGGCTCCATTATGTTCTTATTCTCCCTTTTCTTTTGAGAAAATCTAATTCCTTCAAAAAACTCTCTACTTTGTGCCTTAAAGTCATATGGCTTTAGAATTGTAATGATTCAAAATTATTAATAAGCCCACTGAAGTTTTCTTAGATTGGAAAATGGCTAAGGTTATGACTCATCCACGAATGACTGATAATCAGGAAACAGCAACAATGACGAATATTTAAAGTCAGTGGATCTCTACAGAAAGTATCTTTATATTAATTTAGAATTTACTAGAGAAAACTTTGCTTCCTGACATCAAATGAACAAGAATGTGATTACTACAAAAGATAAGTACTCACCCTGAAGTCGAAGTCTAGCTGTATCCAAGGGAAAAAACACTGTCATTGCTGTCACGCTTCCCTGAAATGTTTGAAAAAGTCTTTAGCCATCTTAAAATATCACAAACATGAGTCACAACTTGTGTTTTTTGAGACAGTTTCACTCTGTCACTTAGGCTGGAGTGCTGTGGTTCAATCAAGGTTCACCACAGCCTTGAAATCCTGGGCTTAAGCAATCCTCCTTGTTGGGAGCCGGCCACAGAGGCCCACTGAGCGTTAGGGATCAGGAAGGGCCATTGACCCCAAGACCACTAGGATGCGTTCGGGAGCTATTGACCCCATTTCCTCCCCCTTTCTACTCAGCACTAACCAGATTAAGCTCCTGTGAGCTCAAAACATAAAAACTCTGAGACCAGAACGAATACAAGCTAACTTTAGAAGCTCATTGCTCCCATTCTTCCACAAACTGCAGTTTTGGCTTTCATACAACTTATAATTCAAACTCGGGTCACATCTAAGAGCCTTAGTATTGGTCACAGGCTTCTGGGTCATGATCTTAGGATTTATTGAAGTTGAATAAGGTGTAAATTATAGAATATAGATTTAGAAGACAGCCATTTTGTTGAAAGAATGAGGCTGGGTTACTTGCAGGTAGCCCCCTGGGAACTTTGGACTGGGCCACATTCCAAACATTCTGGGATGGGTGACTTTAGTTTGTAAAGTAAGTACTTAAGTCTCTATAGAATTGTTTAACTTGGTATTAGTACGAAAAGGGTTTATAGGCAATATGAAAAGGGTTTATAGGCAATATGAAAAGGGTATATGGGCAGTACGAAAAGGGTTTAAAGGCAGTCACGGATTAAGGTTTCATGGATTAGGTTATGGGATTATACCTGAAAGAACATCTGGTGGGTGGGGAATGCCCCTCACACACCTGACTGTGTATAAAAGACCAGTTGTAATTCCCAGTAAACGGGTTCTGCACTAGACTGGAGTTCAGTCTCTTTCTTTCTCTCTCTCTTTCTCTCTTTCTTCCTCCCCCCAATCGCCAACACTGTCTCTACCTTTGGGGTACCCTGAACTCGGCTGGAGCTGGTCTCTGGCACCTCCTGCCTCAGCCTCCCAAGTAGCTGGGATTACAGGTGTGTATCACCACATCCAGCTATTTTTTTCTGTTTTTTGTAGACATGATGTCTTGCTATGTTGCCTAGGCTGGCCTCGAATTCCTGGCCTCAAGCAATCCTACCACCTCAGCCTCCCAAAATGCTGGGATTACAGAGTCACAACTTTTTTTTTTTTTTGCGTTGTAGTCTCACTCCATCACCCAGACTGGAGTGCAGTGACACACTCCCAGCCACTGCAGCCTCAACCTGCTGGGCTCTGGCGATCCTTCCGCCTCAGCCTTCCAAGTAACCGGAACTACATGCATGTGCTACCACCCCCGAGTCACAACTTTCAAATGAACAAAAGTATATTATAACAATGGGTCAAATGAGATTTTCAATGAAAAATTACATACAATATTTAATCTTTTGGGATTACTATTACTCAAATTTATACAGTTACATGCTTAAACAGACATAATTTATTTTCTAGAAGAAAACTCTACTGTCCAATTATTAAAAAAAGAAAATGCAGTACATTCCTGCAAATGACAAACTTAGGGGTTTGCAACCTAGGACACATGTCAAGATAACAAATAAATGGACTTTTAACCTTTTACAGGTCAGCTTCTTAGTACCATGGTCACTCTCTAGTAGCCCCCAAATCCAAAATATCCAGTAATTAAACATACATACTTCTATTCTCTGTACTTAATCAATATATTAACTGCACAGTGAAAAGACATGTAAGAGTCATATTGTTTTTTAAAAGTGTTTTGTTTGCTTGTGTTTTAAATATGAACAATCTCTTTGCTAAAAATTAATAAAATTCATCTAAGGAGCCGGGCACAGTAGTTCATACCTATAATCCCAGCACTTTGGGAGGCCGAGGTGAAAGGACTGCCTGAGCCTGCAGTTCAACATCAACCTGGGCAACTTGGCAAGACCTCATCTCTACAATAAATCAAAAAATTAGCCAGGCAAGTTGGCGTGTGCCTGTAGTTCCAGCTACTTGGAAGGCTAAGGTGGAAGGATCACTTGAGCCCAGCAGGTTGAGACTGCAGTGGCTGAGAGTGTGCCACTGCCCTCCAGTTTGGGTGACACAGCAAGACTCCAACTCAAAAAATAAAATAAAATAAAATTCTAAGGTAACACAATGACACAAAGTATCAAGAAAAAAAAGGCAAACAGTCTATTAGTAAAACCTCATAAAAAGCAAAAGCATAAGGATGAAATTATATGCAAAACTTCTATTTTGGCTTATGGTTCTCAACCTTAATACAGATTCACTGGTGTATAATTAAAGGTATAAAATCAAGTTTTAGGCTGCTAATCTAACAATGGTTACATACACTATTTTAATCATGATTACATACACTATTTTAATCATGATTACAACTGGAAACTAGGTCATCTTTAAAGATAAGTATGGGCTGGGCTCGATGGTTCAGCCTGTAATCCCAGCACTTTGGGAGGCCAAGAGGCGAGTAGATTGCCTGAGCCTGCGGGTTTGAGACCAGCCTGGGAAATTTGGCGAGACCTCATCTCTACAATAAAATAAAATAAAAAGCCAGGCGTGGTAGCGCACATCTATGGTTCCGGCTAAGGCGGGGAGGATCGCTGGAGCCCAGCAGGTTGACGCTGGGGGAGCCATAAGCGTGCATGCCACTGCATTCCAGCCTGGGCAAAGGAGTGAGACTCCAACTCAAAAAATAAAAATAAATAAAGATAAGTATGAAAATTTGGTAGGCCTCTTATCTATTTAAATAAGTCAGCCTGCATGACAAGGGAGAATACTGTATTATAATATTAGTATTCTTCAAAACTCAAATGTTACCTCAAATTAAATGCTATCTATCTCAGGTTATAATTGGTTGTTCAGTCCTCTAGGTTCCAACAAATTTATGTCTCTCACACATTTATATTATAGTGAAATCTAATTTTTCTGTCAATTTGTTAGAATATTCATTCTACATCTTTGTACATCCTAGATTCTCAATTAAACACTTATTCAATTCACTCTGCTTTCACTTGTTATGCTTTTTTGGTGATTCTGACATAAATGTTCTTTTCTAATGATGACTAAATGATAGTCAATGTCTCAAGAAACAATGGACACACAAAAGTTTACAAATCCTACAAATTCGTACATTCAGCAGCCTTGCTCACCTTACAGACAAGAAAACTGGGGGCTGGAAGGTCATAGAAAGTGTATTAAGTTTATTAAGTCTGTGGTTTTCATTCCTCAGATAGAAAAAGTCTAGTATAGAAGCTACTTCTTCAAACACTGAGCCATAGCCATCCCTCTTTTTCACCAGCCTTAAATTAATCGGGCACAGTGGTGTATGCCTGTAATTCCAACTACTTGGAAGGCTGAGGCGGAAGGATTGCCTGAGCTCAGAAGGTTGAGGCAGCGGTGACCGTGAGTGTGCCACTGCACTCCAGCCTGGGTGACAAAGTGAGATGCCAACTAAAAAATAAATAAATAAATAATAAATAAATAAATAAAAAGTGTCATTCTGCTGTTCTTTCAGTTTCTCATCCACCAATAAGACCCCTTTTTGTTTTCCACACAAGTTTTTTCTACTTAAGTCCTTTCTCCTCATCATTAGTCATTGGAGGAGGAGGAAGCAGTGGTGGGTTTTAGTCGACCTGTTTGATTCAGTCTTTCCAGCACTAATAAATTTATAAAACTGTATTTTGTTTTACTGGATTGAATTGTTGTTTTTTTTTTTAGAGATGAGGTCTCGCCAGGTTGCCCAGACTGGTCTCAAACCCATGGGCTCAAGCAATCCTCTCACTTTGGCTTCTCAAAGTGCTGGGAATATAGGCATGAGTCACTGCACCCAGCCTGACACTTTTTAAAATTAATTTTTTATTTGTAATTAACACATAATTGTACGTATTTATGGGGTACTAAGCAATGTTTCAGTGCATGTATACATTGTATAATGACCAAGTTGGAATAATTACCACGTCTATCACCTTAAGCATTTATCATTTCTTTCTTTCTTTTTTTTTTTTGAGTTGGAGTCTCACTCTGTCGCCCAGACTGGAGTGCAGTGGCTGGAAGCGGCCTCAACCTGCTGGGCTCTGGCGATCCTTTTGCCTTTGCCTTCCGAGTATCTGGAACTACAGGCGTGCGCTACCACACCCGGCTCATTTTGATTTATTGTAGACATGAAGTCTCACCAAGTTGCCCAGGCAGGTCTCGAACCTGCGGGCTCAGGCAATCCACTCACCTCAGCCTCCCAAAGGCGCGGGTCTTTTTTTTTTTTTGAGTTGGAGTCTCACTCTGTCGCCCAGATTGGCGTGCAGTGGCACACGCCCGGATACCACAGCCTCGACCTGCTGGGCTCCGGCGATCCTTCCCGCCTCAGCCTTCCAAGTAGCTGGAACGACAGGCGCGCGCTACCACGCCTGGCTCATTTTTGATTTATTGTAAAGATGAGGTCTAGCCAAGTTGCCCGGGCGGGTCTCAAACCTGCAGGCTCAGGCAATCCACTCACCTCGGCCTCCCAAAGCACTGGGATTACAGGCTGAGCCACCGAGCCCGGCCGATCATTTCCTTCTTTGTGGTGATAACACTTATAATTTTCTATCTTGAAATATATACTATATTGTTATTTGCTATAGTTGCCCTACTATGTAATAAAAACCAGAATGTATTTTTTCCTAACTTTTTGTTTTCGTTTTTAGAGATGCGGTCTCCCTATGTTGTCCAGGCTGGCCTTGAACTCCTGGGCTCAAGCAATCCTCCTGCCTCAGCTTCCTGAGTAGCTGGGACTATAGGCATGAGCCAACCTGCCCAGTTTAACTATAATTTTGTACCCTTTGGCCAACCTCTCCTGGTCCCCCACCTTTCCTACCCTCTTCAGCCCCTGGTAACCACTATTCTACTCTCTACGTCTATGAAATCAACTTTTTTAGATTCCACATTTTAGTGAAAACATGCAGTATGTGATTTTATGTGCTTGCCT